TAAACTCTTATTTTAAAAATAAAACAAACGCTATTAATTCCAAACGTCTGAACGAATCAGACTTCAGAGGTATTAAGAGATAACTTTGAAAAAACAAACAGACCCTAAGTCTAACAATTACATAGGCAACTGTATACTCCATTTTATTTGTGGTAATAGTGTATAGGTATGGTTACTCAAGCCACCATGTTATTTTGTAGTCTCACAAAACAGTTTGGTATCACGTGAACCTAACCCCCATAAAATCCCTTTTGATTTATTTGCATGTATTTCATCCAAGTAGTGGATAATGAGAGGTTTTTCAAGCTTATGGAAGGTACATGCTAGCGTAGTGACGGCTTGAACGATACATTTTAACCAAAATGAGTGAATCAAGTGTTGTTTTGTTAATCCCATTTGTGAGAGTTTTCGAGATTAGCTTGTGTTTATTTGATTGTGTATGCCCATTTTTCGACATTTGTATGCAAATCTCATGCTCATGATATGCTATATGTGTTGACGTTCTCGTTAGATTCGATTTTTATACCACATGCTAACTTATGTCATTTTTTATGTCAAATTTACCCGAAAATTAATGTTAATTAGATGCTTAAGATACCCCCTATTAATTTGAGTTTGGGGTTCATAGCAAAACACTATGAATGTATGAAAAATATCGAAACTTTACAGTATTTTGCTATGAATGTTCAGTATTATTTATATTATATCACAGGTTAAATAAAAACAGTATGATCTCAAATCATCCAATTTTGATACGACATGTAAAACCTTATCCATTTGTGTCTCCATCCTCATTATCCGCTTTTCCTCATTCCCATCGACATTGGCATCTTCATCTATCTGCTTTTTTGTTTTCTTCCTGTTGACCTAATCAATGGCAGCTTCTCTCTCCACCTGTTTCCAACCAATCACCACCGTCTCCAATAGCCGGAATAGCCGGATCAAACGACCGGCGGCTTCAGCCTCCGCCAAGTGGTGGATCCCGCTATTTGGCTGGTCATCAGATCCAGACTACATTCAAAATCCTACCGACGGATCCATAACGGAAAGCTCGGATCCAGATAACGGTAGATCACGATTTGCTCCTGGATGCTTCACGGAGGAAAAAGCCAAACAGCTGCGGATGAAGACTACTGAAATGGCTAACTTCCATGACATCATGTACCACTCCGCCATCGCATCTCGCCTTGCTTCCGATGTCTCCGACCGTCACGACCGGTGATATCACCACCGCACTTGATATCAGGACATGGTTGGTGCTGCATCCTTCAATTTGTCGACTTAAATAATCAAATTAGTCATGAAAACACGATAGATCTTAACAACTTAAGCCTCTAAAAATAATCTGTCTGAATGATTCGATTTCATGTTTTTGAATAATTTTGCACAATTTCGATCCCGGATGCTTTGCCACTTTGGCTTCCATCTCTGTGATTGGTATCACTAACCGTAATCACTCATTGATCTCTTCCATCACCATAGATTTATTTTGACAGATCTCAATATTCATCCAATTAAGCTCCATGATATTATCGATTCATCGGTGCTGATTGTGCATATTAGATCCAGGAGTTTGGAAGTGGAACAACACATATTATCATCTAAAAAACGAAGATCACATCGAAGCCATATTCCATGAATTTTCCGGCGAGAATTTGTAAAAGTACCTGCCACGATTGGAACACTTTTGTTGTTTATTGAATTGACAGCTGTACAGCTGAACAAGTATTAAAATCGGTGTAAAATAAGATCTTCCAACTTTCAGTTTTTATGGATCGGGTTGATTAGGTCGAAGATATTTGAACAACACAATTCAATTCTTGTGGTTTGGAAAAATCTTAACCCAACCCAAATCAAAGTGCAACCCAACCCAACCCACCGTACGGGTTGATCGGGTTGATACTTTGGTACATTAAAATATTTTTCTAACCTTGAATATGTTATTTCTCTGCTCATATTTTTTTTCATCATCAACCATTTGATACAACTTATCTATATTTCTTATGTATATCACATTCAGTTAATTTTCTCAATTTATATATATATATATATATATATATAATGTTCACAGTTACTGAACATATATACGAATGAGTTATATAAAGATGTGAATATATTGAAAATATATGTGTATGAAAAACATACATGATAGTGTAATTGTCTAATGTATATATTAATAGAAAATTCAACAATCATATTAAATCTAAGAAATAAAAGGATATCAGATTCATCGGGTTGGATTAGGTTCAAATAATAGTAATCCAATATCAACGGTTTGACAATTTTACAACTCGATTAGACATCGGGTTGCTTCGAGTTGAGTTATTTCACTTTGGGTTGGGTTGGGTTGATCGGGTTGGTCGGTTTTTTAAGCACCCCTACTTCCAACTTATGTATTAAGGCAAAAAACAAACATATATAACATGTTTAGGCTATGCTTGTTAGCTTGCAGTTTATACGATCAGCTATACATGGTTATTTAATAGTAACTTAATGATATAGAAAGTGGCTTATTTAGTAAGCTTTTAGGAGGAAACTTTATGTAGAAAGTCAAGTTTTTTTTTTTCTAAACATATCTCTCCCAGTTAAAGAACCTGCTACTTATTTCTATGAAAAACTATTTCAATCTATACAGACAGATTAATTCGCACATACAACTTTTATCATACACGACTTAACGAAAAACCAATCAAATTGCCCCTTAAAAGTCCTACATCGGGTTTGGACCATTTCTCCTGTATATATGATGGAACTTACCTCCTCTCCTCAAACGTTCTTTTTGAAAGTAATATTGGGTTCCACAAATTCTCACATACCATACCAAGTTCTTGTCGGGGTCGTTCACTCAGTTTGGCCAAAACCCAAACAATTCAGCCAGTTTGATAGGATTGGAGTACCTATTAATGGCCAACTGCTTTTAAGAATTTTGAAACCAAGAAAACTTGAATAAGCCGACATTTAGTAATGTTGAACCGGTTATATATAGTAATATATAAACTTTTAGGGAACATGCGGCATCTAGGGTGGAGTCCTAGGGCCTGGCCTTTATTAGCCAATTGAGCTAATGATCTGATTTCTTTCTGAACGGCTCCTTGCACTTTTGAATTGTTAGATTAGGTGTATATTCTTAACATTATTCATTAGATGTGGTTGTTTTACGTGATAATTGAAGAAATATTTATATCTACTTGAAATCAGTTCTAGATTATTTGGTCTGCAAAAATACGAAACTAAAGTTTCTAGTTCAATAGAGATTTCAAGTTTAGAATCAGTCAAATTGTACCATAAACATCTTCAGATTTGATTTGGAGTCTTGAATCAGTAAAACTAAAGTTTCTAGTTCAGCAGAGATTTTAATTGTGGATGACTTAGATGGTCGATTTTGATACCTGGACATAGGTTTAAGTATTTCCTTGTCCAAACAATTGATATGCATTTCTAGATGTGTTTGAATGAATACAAAATTTTTGGAAACAAAAAGAAACTCATTCACACATCTCATTTTGTCTTAAAAATGATTTAAACTTGCAATCAAAATAATGTGTAGTCTCATTTGATTATATTGAATCCAATACCTAATAATTAGAGGTGATCATTTGTGGGTCTGAGCCAAGCCTAACTTGTTTTTTTCGGGCTTGACAACTTGTCATTATCCGCTCTATAAATACAACGGGCTTGCCCATGGGCTAACAAGTATAAAAAGTGTAACTCTTAATTAACTAATATGGAACCAAAAAGTAAATGAAAAACACCATTGCAATTAAAACTTTAAGCAACTAGTGACTCTATCCATTGTTGATTGATTAGGACTTTTGACATAATGATGCTAATAAGGATAATGTAGAGCCTTTTGGGTTCTCAAAAAAAAAACAGGAGTCCCAACTCTCATCTTATAACATTAATAATTTAATTTTAAAATATACTAGTATAATTTCAATTAATTATAAAACATAAACAGGCCGGACGGACCTGTCCATATTTATTTTTACATTGTCCATATCTGCCCGTTAATTTTAACGAACAAACTCGGGTTCGTCCATTTTATCGATAATGGTTGTCCAAACCCGTATTTCTAGCGGGCCGGGTCTAATGGGTCGTCCTGCCCATGAACAGCTCTACTAGTAATAATGATAGCAAGCAAAATTTTTGCTAGTTGTTTGTGTTTCAGTCATGTCTAAGTGTAAAATAAGTCTCATTTTTCTTATGAAAACAACTTACGATGTCATCTCGATATGAAGATGAATCGAAGATAAATCCAAAAAATCAATATCATAATTAAATAAATACGTTCAAAACAAATAAAACATGGAATTTAGTTATGAATGAAGCATTGTCTCTTTTATTGTCATAACGAAATTTGATTAAAAAAAAAGTGTAATATTTACATGTAGCGAATTTTATACTTTCACCGTCTCTTTAAAATCAAATCAACTATCATCACTATCTGCGATTAACTAAGCCACTTCAATTATTTCAATTCAAATTGTATTGAAATGGTTGTAATTTGTTGAAAAATGTATTTTTAATAAGGTTTAAGTATATGTAATACTTTGTCCAATATTATATAGAGTAAATTTTAATTTTGGTCCCTGTGGTTTGTTGTTTTTTTTGGTTTTGAGTCCCTACAAAAATTTTATTGCAAAAAAACCCTTGTGGTATGCATTTTTGCTTGGTTTGGTCCCTCCCACTAACAGATAAACTAGCCACTTCAGTTATCTCGATCAAAGTATATATATATATATATATACACACTAAATACATAATAGAATATAATAAATAAATAATATAATATTTTATTTAAGTTTTTAAAAGTAATTAGCAAAAAGATAAAATGACCATAATACTCCTCATTTCTGTTGTAATTTTTTGGACAAATGTGAGGGACCAAAACCGTTGTAAAATGACAAATGTGAGGGACCAAAACCATTGTAAAACGATAAACGTGAGGGACCGAAACCATTGTAAAATGACAAACGTGAGTGACCAAATCTGAGTTTTCAAAGTTCAGGGACGAGATCCGTCGAAATTGACAAACGTTAGGGACCAAAAGCGAAGCTTACTCAATCGTTTACAATTTATTGTTGTTTCGATCCCTGCGGTTTACAATTCTTTACAGCTTTGGTCCCTTATACTTAAAAGTTAGTAATTAGTGCAGAAACGAAAATAGCAATAAATTGCAAATCATAGGAATGAAAATTGAAATTTCTAAACCACAAGGATGAAAACGTAAATTACTCTAATTTAACGTAGAAGTTTTTTTTTGAAATATATGCTATTTATATACGTCAACTACTTACATACATTACCCCACATAGTGCATTTAAGCGGATGTCCGCTTTGACTTTTGAACCCTTGAGAGGCAGACCTCCAGGGCTCTATGGTAACCAGCATAGGGCTCTACCAGTAACAAGAATACCACATGCAAATCATCCTTTGGTAACCTAGAAGTTTTTAGATAAAACAAGTATTGCTATAGTTTCAGTTTTGATTAAATTATTGCAGGATTCATAATGCTAACAGGCAATTTATCTGATTGTCTTAAATGGCAATATCATGGCAATATCATAAATATAAAAGCCAGCCACATGAACATTTACTTCTATTAATCTACAGACAATAATTTTCTTACTGAATTACATTGTAATTTAAGTCGACCGAAGTGAAGATATATATATAGAGAGAGAGGGGTGGAGATTCAAACGAGAACACTTCCATTTTACATAGAACACGTGGTCCTCACCCCCACATAAAGAATATTTAAAAAGCAGAGTTTCATCTCTGTATGCCATTTTATCAGGTAACATGCCAAAATAAGTTTATTGTGTGTTTACCTCTCTGAGATGCAGACACGAAGTTTGAAATGTAGATCAGTTGACCACATCAAGCACAAGCTTACGAGACTTGAGAACTGACCATCTCATGCGTCTGTAGTAACCAGCTTGCAGAAGTGCAAGCGATAATACAAATATCCATTTAAATCCCATCTGCAATTAGCAAGCCAATTTAGTTAGCATAGCCCTAAACCGGGCACCATTGCTAGTCTTGTTAGGTGCTTGTGCTGAACGATTAAGCAAGTAGTTGGACCTTGACCCGCATACAGAAGCAAGTTGCATCATAGTGAATTATACAGTTCTCCAGCGGTTTAACGGTTTTCCCCAGTTGGGTTTTCCATGTCAAGTTCATGGGTCCTATTTATTTACTTTTGTGTGTATCACCCTGTCTGTAATTGCATATTCGACCAACACATTGTCTATGTTTGACAACCATAAGCTTAGCTTACTTTTTGAGCTTATAGAAAAAGCCTCTTTTAGTTAGCCATAGGCTAGCTTTTTTAAAAATGTCAATAACCTCGATCCACTTTTTCCAATTATGTCTCATATTCTTCCAACAACATGTTCTTTTAGGTCATTTTACATTGTTATCTAGTTAACAACTGGTTTTTACCAAACATAACTAATTTATTAGCTAAAGGTGCTTATTAGCCAACAACTAGCTTATCAACTAGTTTTGCGAAACACAGCCATTATTGTTTCACAACTATATCTTGCATGTCTCCACACAGCACAATTTTGAAGTGTAAGAACATTCATGAAATCGAGACATAATTTTGTTAAAGTTGGAGAGAGAGAGAGAGAGCAAGTGAAATAAGTTACCAGTTTTCTTTCTTCCATCTCAGGCTCAGCAGCCCAGGTCAAAAACGACACAATGTCTTTTCCCATCTGAGCCAGTGAGAAATACATAAGGGAAATAAGCCTATGCCATGAAAATGCAATTGAAAACTTCAACTACAAGATGGGTGGAAAGGTTACTTGTGCCTCTGTTGCAGGTGTTCCATCTTCATATTCAACAGCACCATCATTAAGCATTTTTGGCATAGCAATAGCTCCACCAGGGAAGTAAGGATTGTAATGCAGTCCCTCTCTGATCTAAATTGAATAACAAAGAAGAGACATTATGGGAAAAAAAATGGCTAGATCCTTCTATAGATAAACTAAAGGTAGCAACCAAATAATCAGGAAGCAATATCACCCATCTTTTTAACTTGACAGAACTTTAAACTTCATCTACACCCAGAGCATTTAAATGCATTCAAAGTGAACTTTAGCTTTAATTAATTGTGGAGAACACCGAATTGAAAACAATAAAATGAAGATGAATGAGACACTCCCCCCTTTGTCAATACCTCTCTTAAAGGTTCTAAATGACTTAGACCAAGTGTACAAATTGCCCAACAAATGTTGGACATGAGATTCCATCACCATTCTCTGATGATAAATCCACCCACCACCAGTTCCTCGTCATCTTTTTCTTTCATAAAAACTATGGACCAGAAAAACATGGTGGTTCTTTTTCCAAGATGCACCGATTTGGCACTGTACAAACCATTAAAATATATCAACAGATGGCAATCCATCATGCCTTATGGTAAATTCAAGTACCCTTGGCATCTTCCATCTAGGTTGTTATTTGGAGAAAAAAACCACATAGAAGAAATTACCGAAACACCAGCAGGAGGATCACGATAGCCTGTAAGAAGGGAAAATACGTAGTTCTGACCGTTATGACGGGCCTGAAAGGATGAACATGATGCTGTGAGGAACCAAAAATGTTTATGTGATGTATTACTTTTTAGAGGATGGCAACCTACTTTGGTAATAAGACTTAGATCTGGGGGGTAGGCCCCTCCATTAGCAAACCTAGCTGCTTGTTCATTTGCATAAGGCTGAGGAAAACGGTCGCTAAGTTTGCCAGGACGAGTAAACATCTCACCCTCATCATTAGGCCCATCAACCACTTCAATCTCAGCTGCCATAGCCTTTGTTTCTTCCTCAGTGTATGCTACACCAACAAGATCTCTGTAAGAGATCAGTGACATAGAGTGGCATGAAGCACAAACTTGTTGGTAAACCTGGTGGCCTCTGCGGATCCTGCTTAGAAGAAATTACATCAAAAGCTCCAAATTAAAATCATGGGATGTTGCCAACATTGTTCAAGTGGTTGAAAGTGAGCAAAACAACTGGCAAAGACAGTCTACTCTTTTTACCCACTTGTGTGCTTCCATACTCAGAATTCAAGTACTTATTGCATAACATCTACAGAAAAGGCCCTTGCTCAAAGATGGGAAATTGGAAAGCTTAAAGGTGACATACGGACAGACTTTTCAATGAGCAAATACAGGAAAGGGAAAATTCCGGAAAGCCTTTTCTTGCCCAAGTTCTTATGCTCAGCTCCATAGCTTTCTTAATATCCATGCCAAGCAAGATACAGACTCAAACATGGAAACGAGGGAGCATTGGATATTCTATAAACTAGGACAGAACAATGCCCATCTTTCCTGAGCCTTAACTTATTAAGAATCTAATGCTATTAAGATCTTATGGTTGGTTAAAGTTTCATTCTTTCTTTTTCTCGACATTTAAGATTTCTATTGTAGTTATCTGTAGACAGAAATAGGCATCATGGGACAAAGAATGGCTTCCAGATTAAAACCCTTTTCAAGTAGTTTAATATGTGTAGAATAACATATTTACTTACGAGGCATGGTCATATGAACTGAGAATGCCTTGGTGAGGCCATGGATAGCTGGGACACTCTAAGCCTTGTTCAGCCTCATCAGAATAAGCTACCGTCGAAAAGCTTAAAAATCCAGAAATTCCTGCACCCAGGAGGGCAAACACTCTTGATCCATCTTGACCTTGTTCTGAAACAAAGTAAGCTGATGGCAGAGGAGCCTGAATATCATAAAGTTTTAGGAAGAATTACTAATATAATACCTAAAGAAACACCAAATTTGAATAAAGTGTTATATCAGAAATTATATACAGTTGCCAACACAGAACAGAACAAAAAGAATCATGAAACTTGTGGCTGCCCAAAATAACTGCCAGGCTTTTGTTTTTCATTACTCCCTCTTTTGAAAAATAAATTCCCTTGTTTGCTTGCTTGAATATAATTATATACGAACGTCCAGTGTGTAGTAAACCATTGCTTGTGATATATAGGGGGATTGAGTAAGATACACGGTGCGAACACAAAGAGGGGAGTGGTTCTTGGAAGTTATAATGAGGTATTATTTGAACGTAGAACCATACAATATGTATAAAGAGCAAATACTTATGGTTGCGCTGCCAAAAGGTGATATCAACAGCCAAATCAAACAAGGTAATGTACAAGCTGAATACGTTAAAACTTAAAAATTACATTATCAGAATGTTATTCATGGTAGTAATGAAGAGCATTGTCATCAAACTTATAGAGCAAAATGGCAGTAAACACATATATAGTAGAACTTGATCCCAAATGGATCTAATGCGATCATGTGACTAAGAAACACCATCCTCAAACCTCTAGCTGATGATTGGACTGATCAAAAAATATGTTTCACGTTCGGATCATTGCAGAAAAACACCTTAATCGTATTTACAAGATTCAGAGGCTGTCTGGATAAGCAAGCAATGTGATTGCATGATTGCATGAATGAGCCTTTCTTTATGTGATATTAACACAATGTGATTGCATGATTTTCACTGTTACATATACCAATATTTGTAGTCATCAAAAGAAAAAAATTATCCAGTCACATGCAAACATCATATGCATGTCCTACAGTGTTGAATGTCCACATCACAATGAACAAGAGTTTCCTGTCCTCCTACCCGAATCATTCAATATCCAAAGCAGAAGCATGCTGTATGAGGACCACAAAAACCTTTAATATACCTTGTTGGCTAATTTTAGTAAACTGCTACTTGAAAACTTATTATCTTCTGAATGATATAATTTCAAAGTTCTAGCTTTAGAATAAACATTTTTCTGAACAAACGGGTTTCAATCTGCTGATGGTGATTTTGCTTTTCATATTGTTTCATGCACAAAAATCAATATAGAGATGCTCAAGTACTAATTTGGATACATCTATTGTACAGAAAAAAAACTATAATTCAAGCGTAAAGTTGCAATGAATAACAGAATAAATGGATTTAACACATTAAACTACCAGTAATATGTTCAGAGCTATCTGTAACTATAAAGTATCTAAACCAAATTGTTCGTAATCTAAACAATCATGATACTAGAAAATACATACAATAAATCAAAATTCGGTACCTTAAAATCAGTGACCTTCAACGGACTGTTGACATCTGAAAGCTTTGGAATTTCTTTTTGACGAGTGACTCCAGATACAAAACGACCGATCCGTCGAAAACCTGATGCAAAATTCAATTATCAGAGTTCAAAAACACTGATTCAGCCAACCATAATTAGATCGAAGACGGATAAGCTGAAATATAAGTGAATTCCTTACCGTCCACTCCAACATTAATCTTCTTGCCCAAACCTATATGAATCAAAAACCAAAAAAAGTGAATTTCAGTTGTTTTACACTACCAGTTATTCAAATTCGAAGCAGATAGAAATGTAGTTACTCATGATTTCTGGAACCGAAGAGCTGAGAGGAGTTGATCAGTGACACAAGAAATGTGAGCGTGGCAGTGACCGGGAAGTATGGAGGGAAGAGGCTGAGATTGCCGCTGGGATGTACGGCCCAGGATTGGCCGGGTCATTCTGGTTCTTGGTTGGTCCACTTGTTCGATTATGCTCCTATCCGGGTCAAATATCGGGTTTTGATGGTTTGACCCGGGTTTGTTCGATAAAAAGATAGAGTGAATTACATGTTTGCTCCTTGTAGTTTGCTAAAATATTACGGCCCCTTAGTTTTACAAATCCCAAAGTGCGATTTGGAATAAAAAAATCATAAGGTAGAATTTCGTTACAAATGAAAAACTACAAGGACTAAAAATGTAAATTCATTTTTCGAAACAGGCTGGGGTCTGTTGTTAAACCGACCACGTCACTTTCTAAACCGCGGTTAATGTAAGAAAGCGGTTCAAAAAGCTCGTCGTGTCATCTCTCCCTCCATTTCTCAAATGCGACTCTCTTCGCGTTCTCTGAGTTCATCTCACTGTCACTGCTGCTCCACCCCTTTCTCTTTCTCATCCTTCAATAGATACCCTAAAATGAAATCCGGATCCAACACGTTGATGTGGTTCAGGAAGGGTCTTCGGATCCACGATAACCCAGCCCTCGAGTACGCTGCCAAAAGCTCTACCTACGTCTACCCGATTTTCGTCATCGACCCACATTACATGAAGCCCGACCCGGATGCATTCTCCCCCGGTTCGAAGCTTGCAGGGTTGAACCGCATCCGATTCCTGCTCGAAAGCCTACTTGATCTGGACTCCAGTCTAAAGAAGTTCGGTTCACGATTGCTGGTGTTACATGGCGAACCTAGCGATGTTGTGATTCGTTGTTTAAAGGAGGTAATCATGTATCATTTCTGTAATATATGAATGGTTATCTGTATGTAGGCGTAGATCAAGTTTCAAAGTGTTGAATCATTGTATTAATTAGAAGAATAGTTCATTCTGTAGTGCAATTTAGATCATAGTCGTAGTTTGTATGAACTGCAGTGCTTGAAAATGATTAAGATGCTTCTGTTTAGCTTAACAATTAAAACAGTTGTTTCTGTAAATCTGAAAAATTCACACCATTTAGGGCTTCAAATAGAGTCAATAAACTTGCTTGATGAAGAGGGTCTTGACATTATTTTGACTTGTAGCTAGCCTCTTTGAGTATCTAAAGTCAAAGTGATGATAACCATGGTGTTAGCCTTACTTCATGAGCTCGCTTATTTTTTGAGCTTATTGGAAAAGCCCCTTTTGGTCGGCCATAAATAATCTTATAAGCAAGTTTCTGAAACCCCACTTGCAGTTGGCATTTAAAAAAGTGCGCCATGGCATAAGAAGCGTCTCTGTCCTTAGCGATTGTGTAAGGCGTGGCTCACGCCATGACATGCGTTTTTTACAAGACGTGATTTTTTTTTTCATTTTTTATATTTTTTCTCTTCAAGTTGTGTTTTTACACTTTTAACTTTAGATTCTATATTTTTACAAGCTTAGTTAATCATGTCACTCACACTTTCTTGGATTCACATATGTCACGGACTCACTGTTAAAACGAAGGTGTAAAACTCTTTTGTTTCTATTTTGAATATCTGATCACAAACTTTTTATATAAACTTAGTTAATTTATATGAATGTAAATTTTTTAATATCATTATATTATTGAATAATAAATAGAAAACATATATGTGTGTGTATATATATAATTATACATATGGCATACAAATTTGCTGCCGTATGTCATGCCTTAAAAAATGCCGCTTCCTAGCCATGGCGTGTGTAAGGCTTAGGGCTTGAGGTTGCCACCACGCCATGCCTAAAACCATTTTGAACCTTGCTTGTAGTAGTGTTTAAATAAGGTATAGGGCCTTTTTCCATTTCTTTTCCGATTATGCGCTTTATATTTATTGAGTTAATTTTTCAACATGTCCTTTTAGGTCGTTTTATGTTGTCCGATAGTTTTTACAAACATGACTAGTTTATCAGCTAACTAACAAATACCTTATTAACTCCCCTTTCCAACCTACGACTAGTTTAAAAGCTAATTTGTCAAACATAGAGGTTTATGTATTTGTCACATAGTGAGGGTTGATATTTAGCATCGTGATGCTTTTTTTAGAGTTCTTTTTTTTGTATGGTTTGTGTTAGCCTAGTGAGTTTGTTATGAGTTGCCACCTCTGATACGTTTTGTTCTTTGCAGTGGGACGTAAAAAGGTTGTGCTTTGAGTATGATACTGACCCATATTATCAAGCTTTAGATGGTAAAGTCACAGTAAGTGTCCTTTAATCATGAACTTCAATTTGAATACCAACATTCAGCATTATCTGCAAAATGGAGTTCCTTCTACTCCAGCATTTTTAGAATTAAAATTTAGTGTCTACATAGAGAGGATCGTATGGTATTTGCTTTGGTGGAATGATTTTGTGGGATTTGGATTTCGTTGAAGGATTTGGAATTGGCGGGATTTGGATCCAGAAGGATTTTGAATCTTTGGTGTGTTTGGTTTGAAATGGAACTGAATTTCATTCGTTATAAATTATTTATAAAAACAAGTTATAAATAATTATAAAAGTAATTAAATTACCTTTTTATTAATTGATTATTACAAAAAAATTGTTTTTAACATATCTTAACACATTATTACATGCAAATCCAATGAAATCCTGTGAAATACCAACCACTTCCATGGGATTTCAAAATCCTATGTTTGTATTTCAATGAAATCCTAGGATTTCTAATCCAAGAAATCCTTCAAACCAAACATGGGATTGAAATGGAATTCAAATCCCTTTGAATCCAATCCAATCCTGCAAACCAATTGGGACCTTACTTTGCCATTATGTTACACCATCTCTATTACTCTTAAATTTGTTATATTGAGTAATGGTAGACGCTTTTAGTTTAAAATTGTCTTGAAGAGTTGTTGGTTAAGAAAGCTCTTTCTTGTATGCGTTTTGGAAGGAAGAACAATGCTACTACAAAATCAGCTTTCTAGGACGCCAAATATGTCTAAATGTCCTAATAGACTTCATCCTAGGGCTTGTTTATAGGACCAAACTGCATCCTATGTAAAAGTGGTATAATTAGTTAATCGGATGCTTTTGGGTGTCTGACAAGTCATTTAGGACACTTTTGAGTACGATTCTTTTGAGAAGCCTCCTATAAACACATCTTTTTATAGGACACTTGTTTTGTGAGACATTTTTTAAAATAATCTCATCTAAAGAGACTAATAGGACACTTTATTTCAAAAGTGTTTTGAAAATCTTGTTAAGACGCCCAAAAGCATCCAATCAACTTATTTTAACACTTCTACGTAGGATGCACAATTGTTTGGTCCTATAAACTCAAGTCCTAAGAAACAATCTATTAGGACATTCGGACATATTTAGCGTCTTATAAAGCCGAGTCCATTGTAGTGCAATCAGCTTTCGTTTAATGCTCTCTTTTGGTGAATATGATGAATAAGACATCCTTTTATAAACAGAACTATGCTTCTGAGAGTGGCATAGAGATATTCTCTCCAGTCAGTCATACACTGTTTCATCCTGCAGAGATCATCCAGAAGGTACTTCCCATTAAGAATGTTTTGAAGCATGAACACCCAGTAAATATGTACGTTCTCAGTTCTTCGAACATTTTATCTTTTCATTAGAAATGGTTCAATTTTAATGATCAGAATGGAGGAAAGCCGCCACTAAGTTACCAATCGTTTCTTAAACTTGCTGGAGACCCTCATTGGTCATCTTCTCCACTCTGTACCACACTCCCCATGATTCCTCCCATTGGGGATACTCGGAATTGTGAGGTTTCTGAAGTTCCAACGGTTAAACAACTTGGGTATGGAGACATTCAGGAGGAATTGTCTCTATTTAAAGGCGGTGAATCTGAAGCACTGAGGAGGCTAAAAGAATCAACTAATGATAAGGTAATTTTGGGAGAAATTTACAGAAATAGCAAAAGCTGATAGGTGGTTTCACTTTTTAGCCATTTTCCGAACCAGATTCACTTTTTAGCCAATCCTTGTACAGAAGGCTTACGCATGAGTAAGGATTGGTTTTCGGCAAAAAAGAAGAATTCTTACGCATATGCATAAGGATTCTTTTTTTTGTGCCGAAAACCTATCTTTACACATATGCGTAAGCCTTCTGCATAAGGATTGGCTAAAAAGTGAATTTGGGTCAGAAATGTCTAAAAAGTGAAACCCTATTTGCTGATCAGCTATTTTTGTCAATTTTCCTGATTTTGGTCTTCGGTTACTTTTTCTTTCTATTTGTTCCCTTTTGGTCTTCATTTTCGACATCATTTCAGGAATGGGTTGCAAAATTTGAGAAACCAAAGGGTGATCCATCTGCATTTATAAAGCCTGCAACAACAATGCTATCCCCCTACTTAAAAGTAGGTTAGTGACATAGTTTTCTTTGTTGTTATCTCCCTAATTAAGTTTCTAATCACATTTGTTTGCAATTGTATGGAAGTTTGGTTGTCTATCTTCCAGGTACTTCTACCAGTGCATTCAAGAGGTTCAAAAAGAGGTCAAAAACCACACCTCTCCACCAACTTCCCTTATTGGGCAGGTTAGTTAACTTTATTTTATAAACAAATGGTTGCAAATTTAGTGGCTTGATTTGTGCTTTTGGGTCTGGTAGAGGTCACGTCTACATGCATTACCTCCCGGACCTACCTTCAGGTGGGATATACTGGGCTCGTTTGGTTTATATGCTTTTGGTTTTTACAGTTGTTATGGCGAGATTTCTTCTACACTGTTGGTTTTGGAACTCCTAATTTTGATTCCATGAGGGGTAATATGATTTGCAAACAGGTAATTTCTTGTTCGGTTTTCAAAATTGACTACTGATATCTCATTGGCTCATCTTCTTCTAATTTTTATGTACGACAACTGTGTTTAAAATACATACCGAGTGAGCATATCATGTAGTGGTACCTAAATATGGCGAAAAAGATTCTATATCAGTGTTTGAAGAGTCAATATGTGATTGCCAATGTTTACAAACTCCATGTTCACACGGGTTTTTTAGGAGAATAACCTTCTGGCAAATTCTTTTAAATCCATGACCTTCTAACAGATTTTGAATCATTCTTTTATTAGGAAGAGACGTTCTTTATAAAAAATCTCTCAGAAGGTTGTTCCCCTAAATAACTGTATGCATTTTGGTTACTATATGGTTGAAGGTTTTGTAGATACCTTGGAATGATGATGACGAACTGCTAGCGGCATGGAGGGATGCTCGGACGGGATTTCCTTGGATTGATGCCATCATGGTCCAGGTTAATGCTTTTCTTGGAAGTTTTTAAAAATGTGCTTCATCTTACTTGTTACCAAATCTATCAAGATTTAGTAATTTTGAGTTGAAGTTTATTCATGTTGTTATAGCTTCGGAAATGGGGTTGGATTCACCATTTGGCACGTCATTCTGTTGCATGTTTTCTAACTCGTGGAGATCTGGTAAGTGGCTATGTTATCTCAGGGGGACTGCTCAACTGCTCACCTTCCTAATATGTCTTTTTTCACAGTTCGTTCACTGGGAAAAAGGGCGTAATGTTTTTGAGAGACTCCTTATAGATTCAGATTGGGCGATTAACAACGGAAATTGGTTATGGCTCTCCTGTTCGTCGTTTTTCTATCAGGTGCTATCTAACTCTACCTCTTACTTCATCAATTATGCATCAACCATTCCAACAATCTAACAGTTTCCAACAACCGCCCTGTGGTCAGTATAATCGTATCTATTCTCCGATCTCATTTGGGAAGAAATACGATCCTAGTGGTGCATATATCCGGCATTTCCTTCCCGTTCTAAAAGGTGGATCTTTGCTCATTTCGCTAGTTTTTTTGTTAATAATGTACAAATCTGTGGTCATTTTTCAACTGTACAGACATGCCCAAGGAGTATATTTACGAGCCGTGGACAGCTCCGTTAAGCATTCAAACAAAAGCAAAGTGTATCGTCGGAAAAGACTATCCAAAACCAGGTCAGTTTAATCTTCAGGCATCAGCCTACCAATTACTATTTGTTTACTTGAATCAAAACCAAACCAACCAAGTGTGTCCAGTAAATCCCAGTTGGCGTCCCAGATGGAGGTGGGTGTGAGTGATGGGATGTATGCAAACATGTTATCTAATAAATTCCAATTTGAGGTGGGTCTGGTTGTTGGATGTATGCAGACCTGTCATCTAGTAAATCCCAATTGGAGGTGAAGTCGAAGTGATAAGATGTGTGCAAACCTGTCATCTAATGATTCCCAATTAGAGGTGGGGTCCGGGTGATGGGATGTCCATCTTGTAAATCTCAGTTGGAGTTGAGGTCTGAGTGATGGGATGTATGCAAACTTGTCATCTAGTAAATTCCAGTCTCAGCTGGGGTCTGGTTGTGGGATGTATGCAGACCTGTCATCTAGTAAATCCCAATTGGAGGGGGGTCTAAGTGATAGGATATACGCAAACCTGTCATCTAATAATTCTCGATTGGAGGTGGGGTATGGGTGATGGAATGCATTCAAAATTGTCATTTAGTAAATCCCGGTTGGAGGTGGGGTCTGAGTAATGGAATGTACGCAAACTTGTCATCTAAGAAATCCCAGTTGGAGGTGGGGTCTGAGTGATATGATGAAACGCAGACATGTCATCTAGTAAATCCTAGTTAGAGGTGAGGTCTGGATGATGAGATGTCTGTAGACATGTCATCTAGTAAATCCTCGTTGGAGGTGGCGTCTAGGTGATGGTATGTATGCAAACCTGTCATCTAGTAAAATCCCAGTTGGATGTAGGGTCTGAGTGAGGGGATGTATCAAAACCTGCCATCTAGTAAAATCCCAGTTGGAGGTGGGGTCAGAATGGTGTGATGTATGTAGACCTATCATCTACCCAAACAGTATAGTAAAAATGCTTTTATAGTAATAACTTACTCGTTGTGCTGTGGTGTTAGTAATTTCTCATGAAGCTGCAAGCAAAGATTGCAAGAGGAAGTTGGCTGCAGCTTACGAGCTGAACAAGAAAACAAAGGGTATGGTGAGC